ATAAAACAATACTAACAAGTCATAATAACGAATAACGATTCATTTCAAAAGATTTTATTTATAAGCTAAATTTACCGTAGTAATACGTATACAACGAACTGGTAAAGCACGATTCCGTACGTTTTACTTTTTTGGGAACAGAATTSCGTACGATTTTGAACAAACAATAAATTGACAATAAGACCTCAAAAACAACACGATTACATACGATTGTCTATGCAATTTTATCATTTAATATTTATTGTCAATTTTTTTTAAATATAAAAAAAAATTGTAAAATTGTAAAAATATAAAAAAATAACTAAAATTTAATACCTTGGTATTATAGTATTATCGTCTTACTGAGATTTTTCTTATGGCTCTTGAGCCCAAATTTTTGGTGAAAAAAAAGGGTAAAACACTATTGCGTACGTCCGTTATCGGCGATACCTTTTTATGCGAAATAAATAATCATCTTCTACGTACGTATGTAATATTTATTCAGAAAATAAGCATTCTATATCTATATTTGGACATATGTATAAATGGATACAAGTTCAAAGAATGCATTTTCGATCTTATGTGGTGGTAGGAATAGCAACCCCAAAAATAGTTTTAACCATTTTCCTAACTCGTCGTCGTTTGTATACCTACTGTTCGGAGTTTAMAGTTTTCTCTCAAAACTTGTCTTTCGATACTGTGAATTGATTTTCACTGTGATCATGTTCATTTGTTGTTTGRTGGAGTAAATTTCTATCTATCACAATGCTGCAGTAGCACAATTTTTGTATGCAAAACCATTTTTTAAAACCATTTTTTTCGCGTTTGAATAAGCCGATATTTATGAAAATTAAATAGCGCAAGTGGTTTTGCTTTTTCATAAATAATAAACTTCACTTCGTTTTTGACTTCCATATTATTGACTAAATCAAAATTGTATTTGTATAACGCACCGTACAATAAAACTTTACACAAAGTGACAAAGTTATCGATTGGCGACTTAGTAAAATGTCGTTATAACGGTCAACGGGGATAATTAAGATAATTAAGATAATATATAATATCTTATGATACAACTTATCAGATGGGTATACCCGTGCAAATAACATAAAATCAAATTGCTATAACTCGGTAATTTTTTGTCWTATAAAAGAAATTCAACCACTGAAATTCATTATGGATCATGCTATTTAAAAAAAAAATTTGTTGTGCRCATGCGAAAAATTAACTGTCAAAAAAATAGTCTAATTATTTGAAAATGTGTATAATAATATTTATTAGTTAGCCAAAAAAGCAGAATTGAAATATATTAAGCCTACACATAGTTATTGAGTGTTTCCACTTATCGTGATCACACTGTATATCACTGTTGTACATTAAGTATATAAATGTCATTAAGCAGACGACCGGATTTACAGTCTGAATTTTTATATACAGAGTTGGATCACAGTAAATTGACAGTGCCGCTTTTCTTCGGAATCGGTAAGTTCATCCAGTACGCCGGGCGCCGGTGTCGCAGGATTCTAATACCCCCAAATGTTTTTACCCTCGGGGGTAAAATTATCCTAGGATAACTTTACCGGGGGTAAAATTATCCTAGGATAACTTTACCGGGGGTAAAATTAATCTAGTATATTTTTACCGTGGGGGGGTAAAAATCGTCTGTTACACCGGCTCTGGCAAACTGTACTTGGGGGAACACGGCGACCAGCCGGCAAAATATAATCTTCTGTTTGGACCCTTACTTACGCGAAACGTACGTAAAACGCTATCACTAAATCAAATAGTCAAATACCTACGTGACCTTATGGAAATCTGGCAACATTCCACTAAACTCTTGGGTACAAAACGTATGGAATCGTGTATCATAAAATGTGATAAGGACCGTACGGAATTGTGTTCTACCTATAACGAACACGTCATGTTAATACACCGATAATCGTTCTATACGATTACACGAATAAGTTGGTGATTTTTTCATTTGGTATTAACGTGATGAATTTTTGAATTAAACAATGCTGAATGTAATGAAAAGATATGGCATTTCATAGCGTTAGAAAAGTATAAATACCTATGTATAAAAATGTGACAAAAATTAAACTATTCAAAAAAAAATACATTCATCGCTCCGCTCAGAATCTAAAATAAGCCTTTCTGTTATCAAATTAATCATAAGATGTGGATAGTATCATTGATTTTAAACCAAAATTGTTAACTATCATCGGTGAATTATCTTCATAATGAAATAATGACCAATAATAAATATACATATACGTATTTAATTGAAGCACAAAAGCAGTTTAGATAGCGGATTATCAATACCCAGCTTAATCTTTGTCCAACTAATTATAATTTACAATTGTTTAAGTTGTATTATTAACTATAATAGAGATCAAAGACCATAACAYAGTAGTTTATTAATTTATAAGATACACGGACAATTATAAAATCATATTGACTCATTGACATAATTCAATTCAATGTGTTCAGTTTATGGAAAACATTTTTTTTAATATTATATTAGTTGATTCATGATATTTTATAATTTTTAAACCTGAAGGTAGGTATGTTTATTAAAATTGAAATATAATATTGTGTTGATTACAATCATAACGTCTCTATTTGTGAATGGTACAGTTTGATAAGTCGTGATTCGTGAGTGATGATGAAATTAATTTAAAAAGTTACCAGTTGTAGGCTTGTAGCAATGTACGATAGTGCATTCTATTAATCACAAAACATGATGGAAAATATACACAAGATGATATTATTACGGTGAAAAATCAAGGTACCTATAYATTAAGCTTAATTATTGAAGTTAATACTTGTATTGATTTATAATTATATATACTCAATTTAAATACTCATATATAAAATTTAGTTGTTAAAAAGTAGTGTTATGTACCTATAGGTTAGATTTAAAAATATCAATCAGATGTCTTTCAATTTCGAATACAGTAAATGTACACAAGTTGATCGTGTTTTAAGCCTTAACTCCTTAAACTTCTTAAATTGTACAGCAGTCGTCTATCTATGGTGTAGTATCAGTGGCACCATTTCAATTTTTTAAAAGGGGTGCTAAGATTTAAGCAACCCAATTTTTTTTTTTATCAGGCCACTTTTTCTTCAAAATTGTAAATATAGACATTGTTTGTGTGTAAGTCAYTTGTATGGAGTTTAACTCTTGAAGGATAAAATTAAATGAATTAAAATTATTCATTATTAAATTTATTTGCCTTTTGCTATAGTAACCTATACTACTGTAATTTTACTAATACAACCAATGCAAATTATTCCAAACAAAATTAATATATACTATTTTTATTTATTAACATATTATAATAAATAATAACACAATATTCTATACGGTGTGAATTATTGTTTATTTTATATTAATTATGCTATTCTATCTTTAAATTCTACTTTTTAGTTTATAAAATYTATCAAATGCTTCATCTAAATTAATTTTGTTAGAATTTTCTTTTTTTCAGCTATGAGCATTTAAATCGATTAATCGTTCGTCACCCATTGAAGATAAGATTTTACTCATTTGAGTGAAGAAAAAAACCTCTTATTTGATACAGTACTCAGTGGACAGTGTTCATAAAAAAACGATTGAACCCCATCGGGGCATTKTAAATTGTTATACAGGCCAATAAGATAAAGAAAAAATAGGAGAACCAAAGTATACCCTGCGCTCCCCCCAAATGGCACTGCTGTGTTGTATTTCAATTTTTTTTCGCATTCCATTTTCTATGTATTTAGCTATAATGACCTAAATTTATTGTTTTACTAAATCATCCTYGAAGTAATATAGATAGTAATGTTAATGTTTAAGTATTAAATTATTTTATTTTAATGTAGTATTAAATCTATATATTCATACTTTTTATTTGGTTACCTATTGATAATAATTAGTATATGATAGTTAATATAAAAGTATATCTTATTTAAATATTCTAGGAGTGTCAAGTAAAGAAGATTGCAACTTAATCTGTAAGGGTCATAATTATTCTATTTATATAGAAAAAAATAATTACCAAAAACTTCGGCATGTCAAGTCAATCAAAAACTTATGAAAAGGTTAGTAAAAATATTATTATTTAGTAATATTGTTATTTCAATAGTTAAATTAACCAAATTATTTATTCTATAGAATAAAATATGAAATAGCTAATCTATCTAATGGGAGGATTCTTCATTCTGCGAATCCTATATTTTTGATGAGTAGACATCTAGGTTCTCGGTAAACGAATCTTTTCACTCCCAATAGACTTAATCGTCGTAACCTGCAGTGTAATTGACAACTGTTACTTGTTAAACATCGAAACTTTCCGTTAAACCTTGCCCTATTAATTATTATGTTCGTATGTAAAATTATGAAACACATGCATGAATAAGTGTAATTTTATACTTAAGCTACCATAAACCAATAATTGCATATATTTAATTAAAATAATATTTGAAAAAAATAAATAGGAATTTGTGATCCAATCATATAAAGAAGCAAATACGTGGTGCGAAAAAATAAGTCAAAATATTTTGTAAATTTCAAGTACCTACAGTTTCGTTTTTAAATACTTAATGTCGTAAAAAATTGAACTTCAAACGCTCATACAAATTTAATTTTACCATTCAGTAGACATTTTTTT